ACACGGAGTTAGAATGATATTTATTATACACAAAATGGAGATCAAGTGATTAATGAGCCAATATATTTTTAATGGTAGCATACATAAAATTTAAATGATTTTGGTTGTGTTGATACACATATTTTCTAAATCAAAACATACATCATAAATAGACTAACTAGAAATTTTATAGCACTCCAGGGAACCATGCGAGTGAAACTATACCGGAGTAGCCACATAGAATGAATAACATGAACACCATGGGGGCGAGGAACAAGATCCCAAGTGTGTATTTTAGTTAGAGTCCCGAAAGGCAAATAAATGAGAGTGTGGGAGAGGTGAGAAAGGGGCGAGGGTTTGTACATGGAGGTCAAACAAGAGTTTAGGTTTAATGATATCATATGAGGCACGAGTGTCCATGGGGTGAGTAGGATGAGAGGGAGACAGGGAGGGGGAGACAAGGAGGGGGAAGCGATGGAGGGGTGGATGAGGGCAGTGGATTAGGGGTGGGTGGGGTCAGGGACGGGGAGAGGATATTTCGAGGTTGTGAATTTATGGGTTGAGGAGGTGGTGTATTTTTGGGTAGGGAATAATCAGGGTTATGACGGATAATAGGATTGGATAATAGGAAGTCCATAAGGCGAGAGAGTGATGGAGGTAGGTCCACAAAAGGAAACACCGACTCATCGAAAAGTAACATGTCTAGAATAATGCTTTTGCCTGTAGCTAAATCTAGACAACGATGCCCATGATGTTGGGGTTGAAACCTGAAAAATACACAACGAGTAGATCGAGGATCCATTTGTTGGGAGCGGTGGAATTAAGATTTGGGTAGTACAAATAACCAAAAGTACAGAGATGGTCATATGTAGGTTGTCGGCAATATAGGGCTAATACAGGAGAGTGGGAGGCAAGTGTTTTGGTGGTGAGGATGTTATGAAGGTAAATAGCCATATAAAGAGAGTCAACCCAATATTTCGGAAGGATACATGCATGACTCATATTGGTGCAGGTGATATCGTTTATGCTGCTGCAAATCATTTGTTCGGCTTTACCATTTTGTGGGTGATATTTGTGGGTAGGAAAATCGAAAAACAAAGTCACATTCTTTAGCAAACGTATGAAATAAAGTTATCAAATTCATATCCTAAGTCACACTGAAAAGATTTAATTTCTTTTTCAAATTGAGTGGGCACAACTCTACTAAACTCCGAAAAATTCCAAGAACTTGAGTTTTTAGTTTTAGAGGATAGATCTAGAGATAATTGATAAAATCATCTAAACTGCTATAAATGTAATGAGCTATAGATTCAGCAATGTCTTAAGGCTTTAGTGAATCATCCATATGAGTGACATTGGCCAGGCATGGATGGGAGTCAAAATTAGAGTGACCCATTGTAAATGAAGGTCGAAGTGGAGGACGATAGCCAGACAAGTGATGCGGACTTGCAGACCAATACGACACTGACACCATAGGGTTAGGGTATATCAAGAATGTCCAATAGGGAGGCCATAGTGACGGGTAACCGGAGAACAGAGGAGCCCCATCTTGGGAAACTCCGAAAGAAGAACCGCAACCAAATAGGGGTTGTCTGATCTGAGCAAAGCCAGAAAGTCACCGGTGAATCTAGCAATTATGACGCCCACTGCTATTTGTCAGGAATCAAGATCGGCTCACTGAAGGATGGGGGCTCAATTTGGCAAAGAGGCACTGTGAAATCATGTGATTCCTGGGCTTCCAGAGTAGTAGATGGTGCAACAAGAGCATGTTGGGCCTGATGTTATTCTTTTGTGCAGAGCTGTGATCTTGCGGCATCAAAGGATGAAATAGTGATAAGTCCGTATTTCGACATGCATTTGATGCATGTTGAGATCGGCTTTTGATTGTTTTCCTAGCTTTAAGGTGTCACAAGTCTCAGTTTTAGCTCAAGTTATGTTTACCGGGCGTTGGTTCGAGTTTTGTGTTATTTGGAGTCAAAATCAGGAAATTAGAGTCCGGCACCAGCGCTTGAGAAGAAATCGGGACGAGTCAAGATGAATTCTAGAGCGATTCTCTCTAGTAGTTCATTACAATCGGGAAGCTATCATTTGGTGCTCTCGTTGAGAAAAAGAACAATCAAGTCAGTACGCCTCATCGCTTCTTGACGATTTCCACCTTGCAGCGATGACGAAGATTATATCTAAGACCCTCCACACTTCGAAAGCTCTCCAGCAGGAGTAGTGAGGGAACGAGGCGGCTCAAGGAACCACCGAGGAGTTCCAGGAGACCATCGACCCTGGAGATGATCTCCGCGGCCAAATAAATGTCAACCAGTCGGACGCTGGTACCTTCCTAGATGGAAAACAAAAGGAGCAGCGGGGCGAATGTTGCCCTACAACTCGTCCCGGTGGTTCCTCAGATTTACGTCTAAGCGGTGGTCACCGCCATCCTCGCGGGCCTCGCTCAAAACCCATTGGCACTGAGCGCACTCTTACCGCCTAGGAACGAGGAGAACAACACACCAAACCCCCCACCGGCGGTAGTCCCCAACAAACTCCTGTTGATCAGCAATAATGAGAACATGATCGCCCCAGGACACATCCTCTTCCGAGACAGTTCCTAAAAAACAATCAGTGTACGAGGGACATGGCCACATATCCGCGTTCAACAGGTTGGGATGCAACCAGAAGAGGCCAGCCTCCGAGAGGATAGGTGGACGACAAGGCTTCAAGAAGCCAGCCCCCCCCCCCCCCCCCCCCCGAAAAAGCTTTGGCTCTGTATCCTGGTCAGCGGAACGACGCCTCAACAAAGGCAAGGGGAAGTTGCACGGAGGGGATCTCAGACACCGCATCAACAAGGCTCATGCTGCCCGCGTTCAGACACAACCCCAAGCTATTACCGTGGTTACCAAGGACCCATGGGATGAAGTGATCCAGCAGCTGCAGCAACGCCTCACCCTGATGAAGGCAAAGCAGGACTAGGCCGATACGTCCCTAACTATGGCGCATTGGTACAAAAGGTCACAAACTTGGACAGACAGAATGTAAATGCACCTGAATAACCCTTCAGATGATTCATCACACAATCCGACGACAACGGCTCTCGTACCACCCCGTGTGGCCCAACAAACATTTGAGCGAGCGTGACATCACTTTGCGTGTTCTCATTCCGGATGATCTTCAGCAACAAACAGTCCAAAAAGGAATATCCTTTTGGCACCCCGTCCGAAACGGGCGGCGGTACCTTTGCCTTTTCTTCGCCAAGACCGCAATAGAAATAGGCGACGAGCACATCCTCTGCCCTGAAGTGGAGGCGTCAGCCTACTCTGCAACATCAATTTCTCGCAGAAATTGTGACTCATAAACAACTAGAGCTTGTTCATCGGCATCATTGGCGGAACTAACCTCATCATCCCCCTCAGAGTCATCCACATCTATGACATCGGCCTCGAAGTCCTCTTTACAGCGCTTCGGCACTTTCGGGCTCAGCTCCACCTCGAAGCTGTCTAAACTCGAGGAAAGTTCTTCACTTTCAGAGAGCACGTCGGGAGATATAGAAATATCTTGGGAATCAGACAACGATATAGCTAACATGTTCTACGACTAACCGCTACAGATCAAACTACGGGCTTCTAAAAACACCTAATCTAAGGCTTTCGAAGCTAAGTATGCAAGAAAACTCGAAGAATAGATGAAGAACTAACCCTGAAGGTTTGAAGATGGTGAAGAACAACTAAATGAAGTTTTCTCTCTAGAAATTGGCAGCGCTTCGTCCGTTCTCGAAAAATAACGCGAGAAAAATGGAGGCTAAGGTCAAGTTTATATAGGCAAACAATGATGACCCCTCAACGGTCAGTACACGTGTCAACACGACAGTTGTCATTTGATTCAATCGACCCGACCGCCCAAATCCAATCACCCAGCTCACGCCACGTGTCCCTAGTTGTCTCCTCTTTATAACACATCTCGGCTCAACACACGCACATGATAGCACACTGGAAGACACTCACGATTAGGTGCGCCCTGACAAGCAAATCGCTGGAGCCTCAGGTATACACCTTGAACCCAAGGACCAGAGAAAGTCCCTCGATTTAGAGAACACGTTGAGGGTCTCGGGCTAGCGACCTTCGAACAAGGATTCTCCCACAGGATTGCCTTGTTCAGGGTTTTCCGAAGAGATCAGATCCCGTGCCACCTCGCGGTGGCACCTCTGCCGACAGATACAATATGAACGTCAAGCGATCCTCGGTGGCAACTCTATACTCCTCATCCAGATATTCATCTCGTCATCAGGCGTGGGGGACTGTGGGACCACACTTCAGAATCAGACAAATGAGGTATGAGGGTGATGTTCACAACTTCTTCTTCCTCGTAGGGGTGAACAAAACTACACTCTAATGTTAAGGTTACAATGTTACATGAGTTTAAGTGAAGGTTCCAAATTAGTAGAAATACTTATATGATAATTTTCTCTAAATTTTATACTCCTATGAAATTACTTTTAACAAAGAATATTTTCATATCATTTTTATATTAAAAATGTTTTCCAATAAAAATATATTGTTGGTCAAAATTTTAAAGATAACAATATTTTAGACGAAGATAGTACTAGGTATTATAATTTCAAGATGCGGTAATTATCAACTAACACTTATTTAAAATCGTTTTTAAAATTTAAGATACTTTTACCTCTATTTTGCACAATTTTCCATTCTAAAATAGTAAAATATGTCTATTTTTTTTAGAGTTTTTTACAAAAATATTACTAAAATAAAACATATTTACACAAATATGATTATTAGTTACTAGAATGTAGTGTCATAATAACTCAAGTTCAAAAATTGAACATAAGTTACTATAATTTCATTACCACTCTAGTCACTAATCATATTTTTGTAACCAATCTTTATTTTAGTGTGATTATTTCTTTTTTTATTAAAAATCTGTCTAAATAAACGTTGTGAGGAAAAGGTGGCAGCACAAGTACACAAGACACAACCGACCAATAGTAGGACGCACACCTCACACTTGTCTTTTGTTATCGTTCTCTTTCCTCTTTCCATTATTTCAAATGTAGTCAAAGTAGTCAACATTACACTACACTAGAAGTGAGTTTCCTCTCTAAACGACTGCCACACTTGAGCATTTCGCCGGAAAATGCGAACCCAAACCCCCATTTCCGTCGGAATGCTCCCTCTGCTTATCGGGATAGTCACCCTTTTCGCCGGTTTCCCCTCTGGGAGTTCCAAATTCACCATAGAACCCTGCTCCAACGCAAGCCCCTGCTCTTCTCTCGTCGGCTACACTCTTTACACCGACCTCAAAGTCTCCGAGGTAGCCACCTTGTTTAGCGCCGACCCAATCTCGATTCTCTTGGCCAACTCCATCGACATTTCGGTCGCCGACGTCGAAAGCCACGTCCTTTCCGAGGGAATCTTCCTCAAGGTTCCGGTCAAGTGTTCCTGCGTCGACGGGATATTCAAATCCGCCTTTGTCAAGTACACGACCCGACCCAACGACACCCCTACCTACGTCGCAGATGTAATCTACTCCGGCCTCGTCTCCGCCGACCAGATTAAGGATGGAAACCCGGGAGCCGTGGGCTCCGACCCGTCTACCCTCAGTGCCGGAACTGTGCTGTGGATTCCTCTGCCCTGCACCTGCTTCAACGGAACTGATAACAACCTTCCGGCCATTTACATGTCCTATGTTGTTCAGCAAGCCGACACTCTACAGATGATTGCGGGAAATTATTTCACCACCGTGAATGACCTCATGACTGTGAATAGCCTGGCAAGCAATGATATCAGCCCAGGCGACATTCTTGCTATTCCATTATCTGGTATTCTTTCCTATTTAGAGTGAAGTTAATGGTTCCAAAAGAGAACTTGGGTTAATTAGAAATGTATTTATTGAGCTGGAGTCTAGTTAGATTTTCTGATCTAACCCACAATGTATGGAAGTTTTTTTTTCCTATTATTGTTTCCTTTATGCCTCTCTTGTCTCTGCAAATACCATATCTGGTTTACTCCTACAGAAACATGCCTCTTTTTGTAAAGTTGCCTTCTCCTGCAAAAATATGCATCAATTTATGAAACGATGTTTTGATGAATTCTTAGCAGTAGATTTGTAAAAAACTTAGGTCTGTATGGCAAAACAAGATGATAATGTCAGTTGATAAACTAATGGGGAATTGGAGTTTGTGCCCCTCTTTTTCATCCAAACTTGAGTTTGTACCCCATTTTGTTCCCCTGAGTTCGAACATATTGTTAATAATGGGGTGCAAACTCTAATTGAAAGAAAAAATGGGGTGAAGATAGTAATGATTAAAGAATGAAGTTAAATTCAATTTTGGATTAAAATGTAGGGTGTAAACTCCAATTCCCTCTATATTGATTAGCATTTAGCAACCTATACTTTATAGCTTAGAACTTATAGCCGTTAAGGTAGCTATTCTCGTATAGTGTTTGGTAAAAAATAGATGATGGGCTAGTTTACAAATATAAAATCATAAACATATAATGATTTGAGAGAATATGGTTAAAAATGAGGTTTCAATTGGAAATATAAACAAAAATATTATTAGTCTATTTGAAAAGCTACTCCAAAAATCTTTATAACTAAGCTCAAGATTATAAAAAATGCTCTCAACTAAGAGAAGCTTTTTGAAAAGCTAGTAGACAACTTATACGCTAGTTTATGGTGTGGCAAACATGGCTTTGGTATGTCTTAACAATTTGCCAGCATGATTTTTTATTTCTTACCCCATATTTCAGTGTGCATGATCTGTTTGTCTCTCTATTCCTATCTTCTTCCTCCTGTTGCGGGTTTTTCCCTTTTTTAGAAAAGATGAATTTGAAATGGTTATATATAATTTTTTTGTGACTACTGTGTGTCCTTCAAAATAAAGACTTCTTAGCTGTGCGACTCGCGTCTACATTTTCCTATGATGGACATCTGTATGGGCCTTTTTTAGGCTTCAGGTTTAGATACATGTTTATCAACAACTGAAAATAATGTATTCTATTTTCAGCTTGTGCGTCAAACTTTCCAAGTTACGCCTCAGATTTTGCCTTATCTGTGCCGAATGGGAGTTATGCTATAACCGCAGGTCGCTGTGTGCTGTGTAGCTGTGGGCCTGATAGTCACAAGTAAGTTCGAGTCTTTTTCTTTTTTCAATTTAATATAGTTTACGTTTGCTGTGGCCTTTCTGTAATCTTACCACATGCATTGCTGCTGGCCTTCCACAGTTTGCGCTGCATGCCTGCTCCATTGGAAGATTCGTGCTCAAGCATGCAATGCAGAAGCAGCAATCTCATGCTTGGGAATGTTACTGTGCAGCAGACTTCTGGGGGTTGCAATGTGACCTCCTGCAGTTATGGTGGTTTTGTCAATAACACCATCGTCACTGTGTATGTTCGGTTGATTCTTAATGTTTTTTTATAGAAGTTCTATTTGATTTTTTTGTTTGATTATAACGAGAAATTACATGCGGATTTGGAGGCTTGTATTAACTCACCCAAAATGGATCTTCAAAAATTGAGCTTTACCTGTTATATGCTAGATATACATCAGGTGAATATCTGGTATGGGACACATAATAGATAGTAAAGGAAGGGAGAAGATTATAAAAACAAGGGGATGGGAAATGATCAAACTCTATTTGGATTAAATAGCGTTTTAGTAAATGAAAGGAATGAAGGACTAAGAAATGGAAGGAAAGTTATACGGAGTATAATTTATTAAGGACTGTTAAGGATGACATTTGAGAGGATGGAGGAATGTAGAGATACAACCCGTTAAATTTTTCTCTCCATTTACCTCCTAGCCGAACAAAAGAGAAGACAAGTATGTTAAAATACAGTACAAGAATTTCCTAAGAATTTGAGTTGTTAGAGCATCTCCAGTTCAACAAATTTGCACCATGAAATGATTGGTAGTGACAAAAAGATGAGTAATTTCTCTCTCTCTCCATATTTTTTGCGATATTAGTTCTTTTCTCATCTAGACATTGTGTTTGATTGATTGTGGAGAAAAAGTTACCAAAAACATAACAAACAATGGAAAAGATTTTTTATTTACTCGTTGTTAATGCCTTCAACTTCTTTCTCATTCTGGTGCAGATTATCCTCATCTCTGCAGCCTCGATGCTCAGGTAATCATCAGCAAGTCGATATTTTAATTGGGCTATAGAAACAAAGAATTAATTGGTTATGAAATGCATGGAGGGGTGTTGGTTATCCTCTGCACCATCTTTCTGATCATTAAAGTTTGAACTTAAAGATATACGAAGTATGAAATTTGGTTCTACGATTCAATATCTTGACAGTCTCCTTTGGTTCTTTTTATGTATAAATAACTGGGTAAATCATTGGGAAAAATACAAGTGTTTAATGAGTACTTAGTCATGTTATTAGTGGTGGGGCCTATACCCATTAGTTAACAAAGATGAACGTGCTCAAAGTAAGTAAAATATTTTATCAACCACAAGGGTGTTTATTTTTTCATTTGAATTTTATATTCAGCTTCTTACTCTAATTTGCATCTAATGCTGCTTGTAACCCGGTTATATTCAGGAGCACAGCAATTCCCTCCCCTCTTTGCACTCCCATCAGAAGCTCCGAAGACAATGTATTCTCCTGCACCTGCACCTTTAGTGGCTGGTGGTCCTATAACAACATCGTCTCCAGTGCCTTCATCTAACTCAGTTGTATCGTTTCCACCTGCGAATAGCCCCCCTGGGATTTCATCATCTCCTTGCTCGCTGCAAAACCCTTTGTCTAGATTTCCAATTGCAGTAGTGCTTGTCTTGTTTGTCAAATTTGTGACCTTCCTGTAATGTATGCCATTGGTTGGAGTCTTTTATCCTTCATTGAGAATTGGCATCAATGTTAGGGAAACTGGGTGGTGCAAGGTGCAGCATTGGCATTGACAGGCTTTTTATGGAGTAACTGTTTATTTATTGTCCTTAGGATCTTTGGCTTTTCAATGTCATCATTAATTGTATGAGAGCTTTTCCGGTTCCCCCTTCGTTATAGAGATTTTCAACTTTTAGTCCTCTCAATATTGCGAGTAGGGACGAGATATCTAAATCAAGAACCGTAGAACTGAGCCGGTAAGAACCAATTCAATTTTTAGTTTCCTACATGTGAATTAGTTTTTCTTATTGTTTCCGTTTTTAGTCGTAGTTAATGCCAACTTTCTCAACCGAATGATTCTTTTACTTGTAACTTTAAAACTTGTTCATAGAACATCTACTCACGGAGTGACGTGAAACCTATAAATACAACTCTTTGTAGAAGGGTGTAAACGGGCCAAACCTAGCTGTTCTTCCCATGTTCATTTATTTTGCTCAAATGGGTTTATTGATATTTGAGCGTGTTTATGAACAATCTCAGTACTCAGCAGTTCCCAGAGCTTTACAAACGTTTTTTTAGCGTTTAAAACAACTGAGGGAACTGAAGGACCAGGTTGTGATTTAAAGCACTTCGATTAAAAAAATTACAAATTCAACCATTCGACAGAGTTATTTAATACGACGTATATCATGAAAACTTAGCAGCGATGCATTCCTAAATCTTAATTAGAGTAATCTTCCTGTCAGGAATTTCCTGACCGGAGCGCCGTCCGGACTCCTCTTTTTGGGGCCCTTCCTGGTGGTATTTTTTGCTCAAATTTTTTGTGTATGTTCCTCATCAAGTCTAGTTCATCCATACCAAATTTCAGCAAAAAATTCAATCGGGAAGGTCATCAAATGATTTTTGCAAGTTAACTGGTCCAGAAAATACATATTCTGGACCAGTTAACTTGCAAAAATCATTTGACGACCTTCCCGATTGAATTTTTTGCTGACATTTGGTATGGATGAACTAGACTTGATGAGGAACATACACAAAAAATTTGAGCAAAACATACCATCAGGAAGGCCCCCAAATGGAGGAGGCCGGACGGGGGTTCCTGTCCGGAAATTCCGGACAGGAATATTCCTGTCTTAATTACATACATACTCAATCTCGTGATAAAAGGTAAAAAGAAAACTTTCGGATGATGGCTACTACATACTCTTTTTGCCTCACTAAACTTGACTAGATTTGATTGAAAGTTATAAGAGCATCCACATTGGTGCTACTTGAATAAACGGGTTTTTAATGACACGCAGATTGACACGTAGATTTTTTCAAAATAATCTCATACTTTCAAAATTATTGTTGATGTTTAAACTCAAGAATCGAAGAGGAATTGAAAAAGATGAACAGTATGTGTTATTCAGAGTCAGAGGCGGCTATAGGGCCATTTTGCCTAGGCAAATGCCTTGGGCCTCTCATTTTGGTGGGGCCTCATATTCTTGAAGTCCTATTAATACTACTCGGTTATATTTTTAATTCACTTGTATTAGTATAGGCATTTTTCCAGTGTATTAGTGGACATGATACGGCACATGTTTTTATTCGACCGATGAGCAAATGTGTTATGTGGCCTCTTGGAGTGCATCTTTTAAGTAATTTCTCATTTGTCTCCTAGCAAAAATTAGGTAGAATACAATGTATATTACATGGGTTAGCAACCTATTTAATAGGGAGGAAACTATCTGCTAGTTTGTGATGTTTTTAGGAAACGTTTACATTTAGTTCTACATTTGAGAACTGTTTATTTTAGAGACTAGAGTCCTTTGGTGACCCGTTTTTCAACTTATCAGGTTCATCAGCTAACTTTTTAACCAAACACATTATATTTGATTTTGCGCCCTGAATTGTGTGACAATAAGAAAATGTGTGGTTGAAGTTATTTTTCCGATTGTATTGGCTGAAGTTACTGTAGATGCCCATTTTAGCTATTTTTATATAATTCTCTTTATTTTATTAATAAAACAAATTTTGATGTTTTTTACTTCATAAATCAGCAGAATCAACCAATACATCCACTTCAGTCAAAACTTCATAAATTTCAGAAGAATCAACCGATTCAACCGATCTCAGTGTTACCAAACGTGCTCTATATGAAATGTTGTAAATAGTAAAGAGTGATTTCATTTGAAAAATTAAATGATTTTGAGTAAGTAAAAATCAGATTTTTGATTAAAAAATAAGTGTAATAGAAAAACGCCTTTTCCCTTAACTTTAACAATAGCTTTAAAATGTTCGATTTAAGCAAAATAATCTACTTGAAAATGTGTAACTTTGTTGGAACAAATTTTTTATGAAAATTTATCATAGGTCTTTTTTTGGGGAAGAAAAATTCATAATTTCATACTAGTACTCTGTAATATATGTATGAAAACTGATATAAGTGCTTAAAAAAAAAAAAAAAAAAAAGATAGATTTTTTCCGTCAAAACAGTCATGTATGCCGCCTTGGGCCTCCATATCTCTATAGACGCCCCTGTTCAGAGTAGATGAGCGGAAGTTGAATACAATGAGAATACATTCAGATACCTAATTTACGTTGGTTTAGTTTAATTTATATCAAGTACAAACAGGCCTATCAGCTATATAAACAGAATACAAATAGGCCCAAATAACTAAAGAAAGCCCAAGCAAATACTAATATCAAAAGTCCAGATCTTTAGTCTTGATACGCCCCCTCAAGAGGAGCATGAATATCCATCATGTTCATCTTGACTGCAAAGTGTTTGAACAATGGATTTCCAAGAGGCTTGGTGTAGATATCTGCAAGTTGAAAATCATTCTTAATATGTTTTAAAATAATTAAACCAGAATTGATTTTTTCTCTAATTAAGTGGCAATCTAATTCAATATGCTTGGTTCTTTGGTGTTGAATGGGATTATGAGCAAGATGATAGGTGGATTTATTATCAGTATGAATAACTGTGGGTAAAGGAAACTGTATATGCAAATCTTTAAGAATATAGTATAACCACTGGGCTTCACAGACTGCATTTGCAGCTGCTCTGTATTCCGCCTCAGTTGAGGATCTACTAACAACTTGTTGTTTCTTAGATTTCCAAGAAACCAAGGAGTTGCCAATATAAAAGGCATAACCTGAAACACTCCTTCTAGTGTCTATACAGGAAGCCCAGTCTGAATCAGTATAGCCCTGAACAGAAAAATCAGAATGAGAGGGATAAAAAAGACCTTTACCTGGAGAATGTTTAAGATATCTTAAGATCCTATGAGCTGTACTCATATGAATGTTAGTAGGAAAAGCAAGAAATTGACTAAGAACTTGAACACTATAAGCTATATTTGGTCTAGTGACTGTTAAATAAAGTAATTTTCCAATTAAAGTTATGTAAGTTTTGGGATTTTCTAAAGCAGTGCCATCATTCTTAGAAAGTTTTATTTTTGAGTCCATTGGAGTAGTATAATGTTTAGAATGAAGATAACCATACTCAGTGAGAATGTCAAGTGTGTATTTCCTCTGGCACAAATTGAGACCTTTATCAGATCTGGCAATTTCAATGCCTAAAATTAAATGTATTTTAATTCTCCAATGTCCTTCATAGTAAACTTATTGTTTAAAAAGGTTTTTACTGCATTGATTTCTTCTATACTATTACCAGCAAGAATAATATCATCTACATATACTAAAAGAATAGTGATAGAATTATTAGCAGTTTTAATAAACAAAGAAAAGTCAGCTTTAGACTGAGTATACCCAAATAATTTGAGAGAATCAGAAAGCTTACAAAACCATTGTCTAGAAGCCTGTTTGAGGCCATACAAACTTTTGACCAATTTGCAAATTCTGTTATCATCAGGAGCCAAATATCCTGGAGGAGGCTGCATAAAAATGTTTTCATTTAAATCACCATGTAAAAAAGTATTATTTACATCAAGTTGATGTAAAAACCAGTTTTTAGCACTAGTAATGGCTAAAATGATTCTAACAGTGGTTAGTTTTACAACAGGAGAAAAAGTATCAAAATAATCAAAACCTTTTTCTTGAGTATAACCTTTAGCAACTAATCTTGCTCTATATCTGTCTAAAGAACCATCAAGTTTTAATTTGGTTTTAAAAACCCATTTACAGCCTATGATATTCTGATTAGGGGTAGGATTAACAAGAATCCAGGTTTTATTTGTCTCAAGTGCTTGAATTTCATTCATCATAGCATTCTGCCATTCAAGAAATTTGACAGCTTGTTTATATGTTTTAGGTTCTGTTATTTGAGAAAGAGCAGCAGTAAAACAAGAGTGAGAAGTATTTAATCTATCATATGTAATATAGTTCTGAATAGATATCTGACAAAATTACAAGAGGAAGAAGAAGTTGATGTACCTGAAGTGATAGAACTAGGCAATTCATAAGTATAATCTTGTAGATGTATAGGTAAAGACCTTACTCTTGTGGATTTTCTCTGGAAATTGTCATCTGGAACAGTATTGTTAGTTTGTAAAATATTGGATTCATTGTTAGTAGAATCATGCATATGCATAGTATTAATTTCATCATTGAGTTGATTTTCCAAATAATTTGTTGCATTGGTAGTATAAATGTTATAGTCAAAAGAGTTATCATTATTATTTAAATCATTATGAATAGTATCAGTACAGTCAGTATGATAATCATGAGTGTTCTGGATAGAAGTAGGTGGCAGTTTGAAGCCAGGAGCAGTTCTTATCCCTTTAGGCCCTTTCCAGGTAGGGGGATAACCAACCACTTGGAAGCATTTGTCAGCAGAATGACCAGTATATCCACAGTGATCGCAAATAATGGAGGATTTCTTTTTGTAGGTTGAGTTTTTAACAACAAAAGCAGTGGAGTCAGCACTGGTGGAATCAGGAATGATAGAATTCTCAGAAGGAAAAGGAACAGAGTGAAGAGGATGTTGAAGTGTTCGTTGAGACACTTCTTGAAGGAAGAAAGAGTAGACAACAGAAAGGATGGGAAAAGGGGTCTGAAGAAGTTTCTGACTCCGTAGGCTAGAGTATGATTCATTTAGACCAACAAGAAATTTTTGAACAGATTCTTTGTCAAGCAACTATTGATATTTTTCATGAATTATACAAGTGCAAAGACCACAAGAACAAAGTGGAAGGGCTTTGAAATCAACATATTCATCCCAAAGGCCTTTGAACAGATTATAATAAGCCGTGAAATTTTGAGTTCCCTGAGAAATATTTCCCAGGGATTTTTCAAGGTAAAAGACTCTAGGACCATCACTATTTCCATATCTCAGTTGTATTTCATCCCAAAGATCTTTAGCAGAAGTGAAATGCAAGAAAGTAGAACGAATTTCAGGAGCAATTGAATAGATCAACC